TGCAAGTCAAACAGGGAAATTGCATCGTTTTCCTTACTGATTCGTCAATTTTGGAAACGGCAAAAGTGGCAACTGCCAAACCCTGATCAAACAGCTCTAAATAGCCCCTGTTCAATAATCAATCGTGGATTTAATCATTATTATTTCTGCACGCCATGATCTTTTACGCGTGTTATCACTCATTTGACCTTCATTGCACGCTGCGTTTGTTCGCACCAATATCTTTATAATTAGGTTATGCTACCACAAGGTTGTTTCAGGGTGACATTTATTTCATTTGGTTAGTCTTTGAGCGAGTTTAATGATTTTATGGGACGGCATTAAGAACCATGTATTGACAGGCGGACCAAAACATTTGTAGTTTTGACATAAAATCTTAACATGAAATCATCAACCAGGAATAATGTTTTAACGAGCTCATGATAATAAAGTGTCAGGATCAGTCGGTGTAATAGGAACCTCGGCATTTTCCCGATCGTTATGCTGTTTAATATAATTTTTACGGAGCCCTCGTAACATTATAAAATGTACTGAATCACTGATTATGCTACCAAACGTAATCATCAGTCGATGTGGTGGTAATCAGTGTAGAGGAAAGCTTATATAAGATAGCTTCTGTAGAAATATTGCCTTAACTATATATATACTGCAGAGGAATAGAGATGACATGCAATTTAGTTCAGCTACAATCAAAGCGCAAGTGTCATTCAGAAATAGGTTCATTAAAAGTCTTACGATGCAATTCAAGAATTTCAATCTGTATTTGCATCCGTTTGTGGTTGGAATTATACATCTTTGATTGCAGCATTGTGTGAGTGAATTGGGTTTAATGCTGCTTTGGACCGTATTCCAGTTATATCACGACCTATAGGGTTAATGAGTCGTTAACCACTTTAGGGAAACCCACGAACACGGATATGGTGATGAAAAACCTGGAATCATACTTGGCGTTAGGCGGCATTCGAACCCACGATGATATGTTTCTGTTGTGTCCAAGGAGTGCACCTCAGCACTGCGATTTGACAACATGGTTACCGATGATTGTCATTGGGGGTGGGTATTGCAGAGAATTTCATATTCTTATCAATAGTTTCATCTACCGTGAACTTTTTCAACCCAAAATGCTGCCATACTGAAGCCTCTGCCCTTGTATTTGGCACCACAATAAGTCTGGGCTTGAGTGAGTGGGTAAGTTAGTTTAGTTTTACGCAGCACTCAGCAATATTCCAGCTATATGGCGGTGGACTGTAAATAATTGAGTCTGGACCAGACAATCTGGTGATCAACAGCATGATCATCGATATACACAATTGGGATGTGTCAACCAAGTCAGCGAGCCTGACCACCCGTTAGTCGCCTCTCAAGACATGCATTGGTTGCTGAAGATCAGTTCTAACACGTATCTTCACGGGTTAAGTCTGGGCTAGACAAAGTACAGATTGATAACACCAGCAACGACCAACATGACGTAACAAGACCTGACATCCAATCTTCACTTAAGTCGGTCTAATAAAGCGCTTCGGGAAAATGATCTTTCATCAGCTCCGGCATCGCAACGAGCTGCGTCGTGTGATGAAACCAAATATCATCCCAGATCTTTGGGGCGTTTTTACCTTCACTCAATTAACCCCCATCATCAACACAAACAACCACATCGTCTTCCACGTAGTTATCATGTTTGCAGGCCATCTGTCGCATGACACCAGTATTATTTTCGAATTCTCCAATAACATTTGCAATTCCGTCGTTAATAGAACTGCAAGAGGCTGTTTTGTCAGCTCAGTGATGCTTTATGGAAGACAAACATTGTTGGAAAATCCATTATCAGTGACAGAAAAGTGATATGCTTCTGACATGTACTTCCATTCCAAAAAGTCGTGTTATGTATTGGTCTGTAAAGATTGGCGAATGACTAAGCCAAACAAAAAGGAAATGTATGTTTCTTATAAATATCCAATATGTCTTTCTTTGGATCCTGCACTAATATGCCCATGTGTACCCGTCATTGTAGTTAAGCTGCCCGTAATGCGACTGTCAAATTGGCAGGTAATGCCTGGATTATTTTTTCATTTCAGGCTTAGATGAAATAAGCGATGTCTTTCTGGAATTGGTTTCATCAGATTGTGTTCAGTGAGAACGTGTCAAGCATAAACCACAAGAAAGCGGGACAAAACCCATTGTAATTCTGTAACCGAGTACAAGTCATAGCTTACATGTTTTGCAACTGTGTGTACGGCAAAGCGAATGGGGGCGATTCATATCTATATTCTTTTATTGCAAAGATCAAATTAGAGTTGGCCATTCGTGTGATCAACATAGGGTTTACAGTACATTTATGAAACTATTGCCTGTAACCTGTTCCAGTTCTTCACAGAAATTTGGCGTTGAGTAGCTAAGTGGTTAAAGTGTTTCATTTCGTCGAAAGTCCGGGTTCGATTCCAAACATTTATATTATTTATGACGCAATTCCACACTGATGTTGCCACGCTATATAGACAATAGCGATGTTAACCTTCCCGCACCAGTCAAAAATAAGCCCGAACATTCTTTTTCATCAGTCTTTCAATTATCCATTGGGCATCTGGACCTTTGCAAGTCCTAAAAGTGTAAGAGCCCTGTCACATGATCTCATGTATCCCCATGCTGTAATTTGAATGTTCCAGTTTCAGAATAGGGAAATGGGGTTTAACGTTCAGTTCAAGAACAATGTACATATATATATGCACGTAAGGGTGTTTGGATGCTCGCACTGTTCCATGTAGTCGTTCCATGTAATACGTATCCTGAATCATATATATCCAGTACAGCACATATAAATCTATAATATCTATAACGGGATGACTAACGGGATCGGGTGGTCAGGCTCGCTGACTTGGTTGACACATGCGCAGATCGATGTTCATGCTGTTGATCACTGGATTGTCTGGTCCAAACTCGATTATTTACAGACCGCCACCATATGCCTGGAATATTGCTGAGTGCGGCGTGAAACTAAACTCACTCACTCATTCCCGAGACTAGATGTTCATGTCTGTCTTCCAGGATATAGTGTTCTAGAGCTATTGAACTTGAGCTATTGAGTTACAAATACTGTACCGCAGTTTAACATGGATAACCCTCTCAGACATATCACACTTTCGCATTTACAAAGTATTTGACTCCGAACCGAGCAGAACATGTGTTATGCCCTTAATTCCGAGCACCAATAGGGTAACAAGTACCATATTATGACGCGGCCAAGGAATCGAACTACCGACCTTCCTCTCCCTAGGTGGATGCTGTGTCTTCTGCACCACAGTCGTTGTGCTAGCAGCAAGACGTTCCACTTCTACAATCTGCGATCTCGGAAACTACTAAGGGCAGTGGGAATTTATCGACTCCCAGACTGGCATTGAAATCACTTCAATTCATTTCCTACTTGTAAGATACGGGTCGGCCTTTCGGTAGTTAATCATTTCAAACTGCGTGACTAGATTAGACATTGCATATTCATATTCAAAATAATATAATTAGAATGCTACATCACACTTACAATGCATTACCTCCTACAGTTGACTGCATGATTTCTCCGTTTTCTGTTTTCATAAAAGAAGAGTAAGTACCAATTGCAACGTCGACATTTTTATAGAACCCTATACAATCAAATGGAACGTTGAATAGACGGACAGGGCCAACATACTCGTGAGCTGCAGTAGATCACACTAAATCGCGACAAGAAACTGTCTTTGTTTGTCGTAAATGTGACGTAAAGCAAAACCAGTCTAGAGCATGTCCGTAAAAATAGTTCTGCTAATGGGATGAATTTGGACATCTGTTTAGCTGATGTCTCACAACTATAGTGCTTAGCGTTCGTGAAAGCCTCTGCAAGAGATTGAGTGTCGCAACCAAATACATTGGCTTTAGATAATGAATGACCCATGGACCATACATGGAAAAAACCCAAATGTTATGTCTATTCAACGCTTAAAACCAAGAAGACCCACTCGAAAATGCACACAGACTTAAATAAACAGTATAACCCTGAATGTTCCTCTGAGTCCTGAATTGAATGGTCAAGTGTTTGTGGGGAACAGCTATTGGTAGTTTCATTGGGGGTAATTGCTTCACTCAGCGAGAGATTCAGATGCTGAGAGGCTGGAATGGAGCAGTATTTGGAAGCTGGCAATATTTGCTTAAATGTTTGGAAGTTTTCACAGCTTTTCATATCAAATGGCATATTAAAATATTGAGAACAATCTAAATATTTGTCCTCTAAACGTATTACTTAACGTATTGGAGAAACGGGGGCGGAAACTCTGGTGATTTACACTTGCCTCATGTTCCAGACTTGCATGGTCTTTCTTCGATACATAGTTTTCAGGATCTGTATGACAGACTAGGGTGACTGAATTCATCTTTAGAAAATAATCAACTGCCCCTTCATGTCGAGCAAAATGTGTTCCAGCACTTCGAGCTTTTGTTTCCACATATCAGAACTGTTGAGCTTCAATCGAAAATGCTCTCTTTACGAATATTTCACGCATTCAAAGTCTGAAAATTAAAAACATTAAAAAACACTTTATGATGGCTCTTTCCAATTGACGTGTCAGTGACCAAAATGATAACATTTTCTATATCGACATGTTCCATATGTTTTCCTGTTTTTTGTTTTGTTTTTGCATTTTCTGGTGAACGATTGACTTGCCTTTACATATTTTCATGACACGTGATACCATTGGGGTTAGACAATATGGTGCTCACATTTAGTCACTCTTTAATAGTCATTCATATTTTTTCATTTCCATTTTAATTCATATTGATTTGTTTGGATATATTTAAAATACACCTAAGACGACATTACCACTTACCCAGAACACCGGGTGTTAATTGGTATCATCACTATTGTTTTATGAATCACCAATCCATGTTCAGCCTGAATCGTACAAGGATCAGTGTTATGATATTGGGAAAGGACTTTGTTGGTTTTACTTGTGTATTAAAAGTTTCCCTTTGTCTTTTAGATCATCTTGATGCTGGTACTGCTGTTGGCGTCATTCATCATCTGCTGGGGGCCACTGGTGGGCATCCTGATGTACTCTGAGTACAGAGCAGACAAACTATCCACGGTAATTACCTTATCTGTAATGAACATCTACGTGATACAACTTCTCACCCACTCAATGTGGAGATTTACATAAGTGGATGCCAGCGGCCCATAGTCAGTGGTCTCAGCTAGTGTCTTACCACGATCCGATTTTGTTACACGAGTCTTTGATTATAGTTCTTCATTTCCATTTAAATAGAGAATTATTAAGGTATATACCTTTCCGGAACACCTTTAGTACACACGACGATCATTCCTAAAAGCATACATCTGCTTCACCAGTTCCACTACATGTACGAGTATATTCAGAGAAAGCCCATCACGACGAACTCCGTTGGTCGGGAAAACCCATCTCTCGGATAGGAACAGACAGGGAAATGTTCACGCCTGTACGGGACACAAGACACTCACAATTATAGTTATCATTAACAATGTCACTGCGTCGATTTGACTGACCGGTTTTCACTTTCCGGACGTTTTCATTTTCAGACTTTTCACTTGGAAGAGTAATTTCCGATTACATGTTTCTGTATGGAACGTTTGCACAATAAAATATTTGATTGATTGATTTGATTAAACGAGATTTTACTGTATATGTCTAAATTGATGCAAATACAAAGGGTTCTATTTATCTATATGTTTTAGAAATTATCATGTAACCTATTAATAATTACCTTAGAAACTTGTGCAAGTCTAGACAGTCAGTTGAAGGTTACTGTGAGCCTCCGAGGAAGACTTGTGTACCAGTGCCACCTCGTGTGGCATGATTTACCGTGGCAATAGGGACCATACAACAAGCCCTGTAACCACTTTCAGTGGTGAAAATATACACATAAACACACCGGCATGACAGCTTGGTTGGCACGAACCGCATTCCGAGCCATTTCTTCAGTGGAGTAAGCAGTTATCTCTGACAAGCAGTCGTAATGATTATCTTAAAGCAAAACGTACGCAGAAGTAACTGACAGTTACTTTTGTTTGCGGTGATTTCTGCTGCAGTAGCAGTCAATGTTTGTTCAATATCGGACGCTCGGGGACTGTGGTTCAGTGGCCAGCGCTGTTGTAAACAGCTATCAGGGTCCCATAGCCAAGTATACAAATCCCAGATACACCCCGCGCACCGCGTCATCACAGAAACACTGACGAATGCGCCTTTTGCCCAAATTCCCTCACTTTGAAAAGACTAACATTTTAAAGCGCACTAGAGGTAAAAAATGGCTGTATTTTACGACATGTCTGTTTCTGAGAAATATGCTCGCAGTTAACAGATCAAGTGTTCCTTTTAGACTGAACGCATTGTAGTTAACAAACGTTCCTAAAGATGCGTGTTAGTCTCTTCTCTGCTAAAGCCAGCTGTCTCAGCCAAACCACAGTCGAGTCTAATTATGAACACCAGGGGACATAACGCCGACCTCGTTCTTAGTGCAGTCTCCCCAGTCTCATTCACTGAGACTCTTAATTACTGTACATGGCACGGAAAGGAAAGCCTGTCTAATACATGTAGACGTCCTCCCTGTTAACGATGTCCTCGTCCTTCCTGAAAACGAAACGGAATTCATTTGAGTCAATGGGAAAAATACTATTATAATAAGTTATTGCATCATTAACAATCCTCTAAACGAACATTACATTGTACGCCATTATTGAACAAACTTGAAGGATGACAACTTCTTTTATTACGTGAGTGTTTCTATACAGATTCTAGTGCCGTTGTCAATATTGTACGTCCAAACTTCTAAATTGCCACTCAAAGAAATTAATATGCCATTTTGAAAATACCTGTAATTGCAATTCCAAAAATGGACATATACTTACCTTGTAATCTTCTCTCTAAAGAGTGGTGAAGGAGTCAGGTGGTTAAAGGGTCCACTCCCGGCACGAAAAGGTCGGGTTCTGTTCCCGACACCCGAAGCTTTTCCGGGGTGTCGCCTGCCTTGATATTGCTGGAATAAGGCTTAAAGCTGCGTAAAACAATAATCATTCTGTTTAAACTGTAGTTCATTGATTTAACAGTACAATCAATATGAGAAATAGAACTGCCAGATACATCGATACAAGTCGGATTTCATTTCTTTGCCTTTAATGACTTTTAGTGGTTGCGTTCGTTGTGGATCGAGGTCAAGTGCAAATCACACACAGGTCACAAATCAACCGAGGTTGAACAACGTTGATCGCTGAGTATTATGTAGGAACATGTTCGTAGCTTCACTCAGATTTTATATTTGTAGTTTTAATTTTTTTTTATCTCTTTAGTTTATCGTTATTGTTTTGTTATATTTTGTGTGGAGTATGTTGCAGGCAGATTTATACTCCTCAAGAAGCAGAGTGCACACTGATTCATTGACCGGGGTAATAATTTAGTGCTTGGGTTATGATTTTGGGTGTGAATTTGGCGCAACTTTGATATGAAAATTATTATCATTTATTTGGAGACTCCTGTTGGGACATTACACGAGATTTCTTAGGCAAAGACGTTTCCAGAATATTACGCTGGTAACGCTGACTTGGTTGACACATGCCATCGTATCGTATCCCAATTGCTCATGCTAAAGATCAATGGATTGTCTGGTCCAGACTCGATCATTTACAGACCGCTGAGTGTAGCATTAAACAACAAATTGAAAGTACTGCTCTTGATAGGTGCAGGCTGTTATGCATGCTGATGGAGAGGCTGTCGTTATCTATAACAGAATGTAGTGACGTACATTAACATACAGACAGGTTGAACGCGTAAAGATTACAGTGTCCACGTAGACGACGTATATCTGGTTCAGCTACTGATATATAACCACCGCCATACAGCTGAAATATTGCTGACTGCGGCGTTAAACAAACCAACCAAACTATGTTAGGATGTCAAATAGATTAGATTTACCAAATCCTAAACACTGTTGTTGTACAGACAAAACAAGAATGTGATACGTAGTAAGAACTACGTACGATAACCCGTTCTAGCAATAACAGCCATACATATTATTCACACAGCTTTATCTATTAGAATTATATTGTGCTTATTCATATGGTAGCAGCTTGGTTCAGGCTCGACATATCCTAAAAACTACGAATACGGTACCAAATCTTTAGGTGAAACAGATAAACTGCACTCATGGCAATACAGAAGATGATTATCCAAAGAATTTGGTTTTCCTTCACAGATGAACTGGTTGATACCAGTATGTTATGGATGCCAGCTCAATCTTCTGTTGGTCTTTGTGTCAAACAATGTTTTCCCAAGCAAGACCAAACTTGTCATTTTGTAAACATGAAAGAGACACATAAATGCTTGTCCGGCGTCTGTGGAACATTATATTTTGCAACAAACATACATGTATCTGGTTAGGAATGTACACTGGTCAGTTTTTTGGTCTCTTTCAGCTCGGGCCATGGTATCCCAAACTGGAGTACTTTTCCCGATATCTGGCTCACGTCAACAGCGCGATCAACCCCATGATCTACGCCGGCTTCAACGACAACTTTAAGAAGGGTAGGTATTTGCACCGCCTCAGCACAAAAGCTGCAGTCTGTTGTTGTAGTCTACATGCCATGGTAACCAGTCTGGCTATGCAGGTGCACTCACAGATCGGTGATGCATCTCCATTGTCAATACTTCACGTGTTTTGTATACACTACGTTCCTGCTGTACTCGTACATACCGGTAAGATACATTGTGTAGAAATGACGCGTTTCTTACGTTAGTGAGCTGAAGATATAAGGCCGTGTTTAACTCACAGAAGTCTAGTGAGTGATCATGGGTTTACACCGCTTTTAGCAATATGCCAGCAATATCACGGCGGGGGACACAAGAAATTGGCTTCACACATTGTGCCCATACGAATACCAGCCGGGTCTCCTGAGTGACGAGCGGACGCTGTAACCATTAGGCTTCTCACTGGGCCCAAAGAAGTCAAATGAGCCCAACCGATGTATGAATTCTAGTGGCAACCCGACCTTTGCCATACACTTAGGAATGGGAATAGTAGTTTGCCACAAGATTGTGGCTCAATATTCCCGTTTGTGTGATCATTGCTCATTGGTCCAAGCTGTCGAAGGTTTTTCTGTTTACTGGAGCATGGCCTTGTCTTACTTTGTTGGTTAAGGGAGTGGTGTACATTCCAACGCATCTGTATTTGATCACTGGGATTTAAAGAACGTATTGCTTGCATACCTGTGAAATATTGACGATGATGCAACGCCTATACTGCCAAGTTTGGTCAGGTAAAATGTGCGTCTGTTTGTCCAAGAAGCGTCAGATGCATTTGCCCAGAAAGGTATGTGCAAAGCGATTGATAGAACATTTCTTCATTATGAAAAATGGGAGGACATACAATCAAGAACTAAACCTTTTCAATTCCTCCATTCTTGACAGATACACGCATGAGTTAGTCTGTTCGCGTTCGTAACCAAGAGCTTTTTAAAATATGGCATAAATTCAATCGAGGATGCTTAATTTCACAGTTGAGAGCAAAAGCCCATTATTGACATAGCGTTTGGGTGAAAAAGATGAAATGATGATACTGATAAAGAAATATATCATGTATGGGTGAAGTGCACGCAAGATAACAACTGTTCTCAATATTTTATGCACTGCAAGCTATCTTGGCATTCTGTTATTGCATTCCGCGTTCATGCATGGCTGGAATGTTACCTGTACCTCATATGTTTCTCTTTACTTTAGCCCGTGTATATCTGTATGAACTCCTACATAAGGCGACTTCTATAATATACTTGAAAATGTGAGATGTCTGTTGCGTCAGCTGTTAATGTGAAACTGCTTTTCATGTTCTGCTTTCATTATTTACTGGCGTGTTGTTAATTGTTTTTGCAACATTATATGATATTCATAACAAAACGTGATAGACACTAATCTTTTCGATTCCTGGGGAATGGTATTTTTTCAACAGTGGCAGAAAATTCGCTCACATATTATCCCTTTCAGTGAATTGAGATTTTTAATAATTGTTTGAGAAACTAAACCAAAGACAAATCAATTTTTAACATTTTTTACCAAAACATTTATCAATCACAATTCTATTTCGTTTATAGAATATAACTGAACGTTTAATCCACAAAGAATACATACTTGAAGTGTTATGATGTTAAGAAATTTTCTTTTGAAGTATGGTGCAAAGGAGGCGAGAAACAGAAGAAAGATTTTATTAGGTAAATCAAGGCGTCTTCTAAACCTGTCCAGTATATATAGTGATATTATAGTCGTCCAAGTGGCCTGCAGGCATTGCATATGTTTCTCGGTTGAATAACAGTTTAGTTTAAACCTCATAGAAATTATCGGCTGTCAATCACATTGCAAATGATATACTGCCAGCTTGTTTTGACTTAAAAGGACAACACAATCACCATCGTTCCTTCAATATGAAAGCAAATGTAGATTGTTTTAGAATACATCATATAAACAACTACAAGTAGATGGTCCAGAATTCCAGCATATCTATATTAAGCATATGCATCTGTGCATTTTTGAATATAAGTAAACGCATAACATGTTGTTATAAATTGTGCAGCATCTTACTTTTATTGTTGGAATATAAGCTTATACTTGTTTGTCGTGAATACTTAATGGCAACACGCTTGGATCTTAATTTGTTTGCCTATTTTCAAAAGGTTTTCTTTCAATTCTGACCATTTCAGGAGGCATGATTGTTCATTCCCTCATTCCCTATTTCGAAATGCCATTGTGTTGGGTTGTTTTGGACTAATATTCTTGCTAATTCTACAACATGGACACTTCACTTGTTTTGTGTAATGTCATGTCTCATGATGTCTCATCTAAATTCAACCGAGAAACATTTCATATATTCAGAATTAGAACATGTAGATTTGGTGAAGGGTGCATGCTTTCACATTTTCATTATCATTATCATCGGTTACGTGTTTTGTTCGTCTGTGTCTGTGGATCATAATAGCCTAGTTATATACTACCACCACCACCACCACCACTACTACTACACCCGTGAAGGTCCGGGTTAGAATGAGCCTTCAGTAACCCATGCTTGTCGTAAGAGGCGACTAACGGGATCGGGTGGTCAGGCTCGCTGACTTGGTTTGACACATGTCATCGGTTCCCAATTGCGCAGATCGATGCTCATGCTGTTGATCACTGGATCGTCTGGTCCAGACTCGATTATTTACAGACCGCCGCCATACAGATGGAATATTGCTGAGTGCGGCGTAAAACTAAACTCACTCACTCACTCACTACTACTACTGTCAATAATGATAACAATCGTCGTCGTCGTCATCATCATCATCAACGTCATCATCTTCCGCCATCATCATGAAACGCCAAGATTGAGAATTAATTCAGAGGGGAAGGGTAAATGTCTCTGCACAAAAATTTCTTTTGTTGTTAGCCAAATCACAAAAATCAACACATGGTACTAACAACTCATAGTATACCCGTGAAGAGTTAGCCTTCAGCAACCCATCCTTGTCGTAAGAGGCGACTAACGGGGTCGGGTGGTCAGGCTCGCTGACTTGGTTGACACATATCATAAGTTCCCAATTGCGTAAATCGATGCTCATCATGATGTTCACTGGATTGTCTGGTCCAGACTCGATTATTTACAGACCGCCGCCATATAGCTGGAATATTGACGAGTGTGGCATTAAACAAACAAACGAAAAATCGAAAGTACTGCTCTTGATAGGTGTAGGCTGCTATGCATGCTAAGTGATAGGCTGTCGTTATCTATAACAGAATGTAGTGACGTACATTAACATAAAGACAGGTTGTACGCGAAAAGATTACAGTGTCCATGTGGACGACGTATATCTGTCTGGATCAGCTGCTGATGCAGAACAGAAGATGCGACTGGATAAAAATATCAAATTAAGACAAATTCCTGACACCATATATCTATCCCATTCCAGATGGATTGTTCCACCTTTGTCAATTAATAGAAACAAGACTATATGTTTCATATTCAACTCAACATCTGATAGGGTTTTCGGAGCAGCTGGGCGAAGGGGGATAAACCTGAACAGTTGTCATTTGAAATAAGGTGAAATTTGGACATAGAATTTACCTGTTAAGCTTAGTTTACAAAAGTAAACATTATATATGTTGTTTCCTCCCGTCTTTCACAAACATGTGAAGTAACACGGTATCTCCGTATTATACTCTTGTCCGAAATAGCATGGTGTTATATACTGTTTATCCCTGATTCGATTCGTCTTTTACCATATTGCGTTGCTCCTCCTGCATATGTGTAAATGATGAATAAGGTGTTTTGGTCCATGGTTTGGTCACTGCAAACTGTGTTGTCATTTTAAAGAATTTCTATATGTATTTGGACAGTGAGGCTACATACTACATTAATGTCTATTTTAAAACCATTGACTCAAAATGGATACTCTTGGTCGTCGTTTAAAGCGCAAATATAATATATTCACGGAGACACAAGCTCATGTCACTTGGCTCACACACACAAAAAGTATTTCTGAATTTATTTACAAATTTTAAAAACCCATAGATTTGTGTGAATAGTTTAATTTAAACTCTATGTCCCACATGTGTTTATGAATCCAGTTGAACTGGTTTTCTGCTGTAAAAGATAGCTCTCAATCTAACATCTGCATACATTTCAAACACAAAGTATTCCACATACAATACAAAACATCGCCTTTTGATTTACAATAAATGTTAAACGTTTTTCATGTGGTGTATATGTGTAAGAGTGGGGAATAGGTTTGATTGCGCGGGAGGCAAAGTCGTCCAAGTGGCTGTGCAGAGTTACCTCCGTTGGGATCTCCAGGAAACTATTATGGTTCCCAAGTCGTCCCTAGATGTTGCTCGTCACGCCGAAGACCCGGGTTCGATTCCCCACATGGGTACAATGTCACCCAAAGTCCCCGCCGGGATAAATTCAAAAGCTTCTCACTCACTTAACACATGAAGCTGACGTGTCGGGATTTAACTGGAATATTGTTTAATGCAGCGTTAAAACAAAGTTTACAGATACTTAAACTGGTTAGCAGTGATTTAAAATAAGTACTGATAGATAACTCCTTGTAATGGATACGTACACTGTCTGTGCTGTAAAAGTGCAAGAGGTTGTCAATTGATGTTTGTGATTGATAGTCTGAGAGGCGACGTTTTAAATGACACATGGATAACTGAACGATTATCCTGGCTGCACCAAACTTACCGATAATATATCTACTGCGAACCGGTTGTTCGAGATAATCGACTAGTGGATGGATAAATATGATTGGAGCTGGAAACAATGTGGCGATTCAAAGATAGATTCAACTTGTATCGGACTGACAGTTGTCGGGAGCCATGTACCTCGTTAATATTACAACTGAAAGGTGTTTCGTGTTCTGCATATCTAATACGTTATGGTGTCGTACTTCAGTGTGATTGTGTATATAATCATATGTCTATTACATGCACATGTAGTCATTGGTGTCATTAAAGTACATGAATATCAAAAGTTCATGCATTCAATGGAATCCTGTCCAAAA